CTTTTATTACGGGATAAGTTCCGGGCGTTTCAGCTGTTAAGCTACAGAGGAAGCTACTAACAAGAGCACATAGGTCAGTATTTTGGACAGAACAAAATTAGTTCGCTCTTCGCTCTCCAGCAGAATTCAGAGAGGATTATGTGGTGGTGTTGTTGTAATCGACTTATTAGGCCATAAAGAAAAGAATATCCCCCGAGAAATGGCCATCAGGTCTTACCGCAGTCGATTAAAGCAAGCCCGGATAACTAGAAACTGCTAGCGCTTTCGGTGCTCCTTATTTTGCCCTTCTGCGGGATCCTCTGAATGAGAATGAAGATGACTACATGGCGCGCCTCAGGTGCCGGATATTGGATTATCGACCAGCAGCGGTAAGCTCCAAGAGGGCCAGTCGGATAAGCGTGGACGGAACGGCGGTGTTGATGATGTCGAAATTCGAAGGGCGGTGGTCTTGCACGCCCATTGACGCGTAAAAAGATATTAGGCCTAACTGTGACATTGTGACATGGGAATCATGAACCATCACTGTTTCTCCTTCGGGTTTTCAAGCTAAACGGATTACAGAAATTGCGTCAAACACTCAATAAGGGAAGCTTTAGAAAAATTTCCTGCATACTAAAGGGAAGTTTGGTCTTCATTTAAGCGCCTTTTTCCGCAAAGAGCGTCTAAGCGACTCGGAACTTTGCTTATTCACAAATTACAGTTAAAAGAGAGTATACAGGAGGATGTAGGGGAAAGCCTGCACAACGCCGCATTAAGAGTTTCGATTTTTCAGTTTATTTCATTGTATTTGAGGGAAGAGTTTGAGCCTCTGAACTCCTATATGTCACGTGCAACACAAAAGAATTAACAATAATGTGAGCCCACACTACTGTCAATTCTTTTGATTTGTACGCGATATATTGAAGTTCAGAGGCTAGGAAACTACACCGTGAAATAGAAGCATTATTATCTTCACGTATGTGCATTTCGTAAGGTTACGCAATCACGTAATCTAGGAAGTACTCAAACGTCTCTGCCAACTGTGACATTGAAAAGTCTCAGGCAGGTTATTTCATTGTTTACTTTATGGTTTGTGTGAAGAACACATTTTCACATCCCATTTTCCTTGGCGCACATGTGGTTTAACGTGGCACCCCCGAAGTTTAGTTGTTATAGCGAGTTAGTAGAAGTTTCCGCAGTGGAGTATTCAAATAATTTAAGGGGGGAATCTCCTAGGTATAATTCGAGTCTTCAAAATAGAATTTCGGTCGTAAGATGTCGACAGAAGCGACTGATGCGATCCCATCTTTTTGCATGCGTTCATTACGAGCTCACACTACGGCACCATTTATCCTTCTACAATTAACCTATTATACTGTGTTTCTCTGACCTTTTCTACGCACACTAGTACGTTGTTGTGCCCGCCATGATCGGCATAACACCTTGCTTTTGTTGCTCGCCCACATTTTTTTAACCACTTAACTTAACCAGTGAATGGCAGCTGCTCAGCATACACAGTTTTCATTAAATTTTAATGTTTTTGGCCTTCTAAGGTAGGAGTTGCCAAATATGTTCGCTACTTTGCCTTATGACGACCTTAAACGTAAGAGCTTCCGACTAGCTGTTGTGTGCTTGCTCTTCTCTGTTTTCACCACTTCCGAAATGGAAGCATTTTAATTACATGTCTGCACTGGGCAGCCAGTTTGTGGCCATGTAAAATTACAACTGTGGCAATTAAAAAACAAGGGAATCTCTAATCAATTAGTACGTCAGTTACTCGAGACTTCCCTCAAAACTTGAACCTTGTTTATCGCATTAACGGAATGCCGGTAAGCGGTAGATTCGGGAAAAGTCGCGCCTGCGTTCTCTCTGGTCGCTACTAATTTGGTTTGTCCGACCTAGGGGCAATACTTGCGGAAGACTTATAGTGATTTTTCCTAATCTTAAAGTCTTTATTTCAAATGGAACAAGAAAACTTAAACAGCACTATAGGTATCCATACGCATATGTTCTGACATGGCTTTAAGATGACGAACCCGGCGCAATGCCATCCATCAACAAAAATAACGCAGATGGGCGTTTCAACTTGAAGTCACATGGATTATTAACTGATAAGTTGCTCGCGGATCTGAATAAAGGTGGAGCTCTGGAACAACTGTCGGAATTTTTGACCCACCACGTCAAAAGCGACGCGCTACGAGATTTTAAAGGTAGATGTTGCACCAGTTTGACTCGCCTGTATATTTTTAAATAAGTTGGAAGTCTCTTCACACAATCATACGATTAAGGACTTGTGGGCGAATCGTCGATCATATTGCACTTTTTAAGTTTCTGCTTCTGTGTTGCATGCATGCAGCAGGTGTGCCCTTTGGATATTTCACGCAGTATGCACCTTTTTAGTTCCAGCATTTCGCCTGATTTGCATCGAAAGTTTTGACCTCGGGGCTTATGTATGTGTCATTGTGTTCGATTAACATTGAAAAATCGTTTGTCGGAAGGATTACCCCTACACAATGCGCTAAGTGAAGGACTACTTCTCAGAGCACTTGATTTTTTTCATCTAGCGAGGTCATCTCTTGATATTCCTGTTACATGACGTCTACGGTGGCGTTGCCACAGGTATTCTGAAGAAGTTACTGTAATATCTTGCGGTTAATTAGGTGTCGCGGTAAGCTGTCGCAGAATCGACTGGCCTTCGTCCATTTAAGTTGCAGTAGCAACTTTTAACGCCAGTTGGTTACAGAAAGCCAAAACGGAACGGTAGACCCTCAACCCCACACATTGACGGCCACTGAACTGGTGCCCACCTTTACCAACGTGCACGCACTGCTCATGTTCAAGACATGGATAGCCTCTACGTCCTCGCATCCGCCTCGATGTAACCCATTCAGTTTTCGAGACCACTATCACCTAAGAACCCACTCCCACTTGCTTTCCACGCCGCTGTACTCCCCAGTCACGCCAATATCCCACATATACGAAGTCACTACAATACGGGATACGTCTGGAGATCGAAAACAACCACCACCAGCGTTGATTGTCAACTTGTCCTTGTTGTGACGTCATCTCAATCACATATTAGTCTATTGGGGCATATATCCACTGTGGGGGATAGTCTTCGAGCTCTCCTGGCCTCAAAACTGTTTCCGCACGTTCATCCCCACATTCACTTTTCTGGCCATATGCGTAAACGTAAAAGAAAAGCAACGCCCGTTACTTAAGCACATATGCTCTGTGATAAGTTTGGCTATCTTCGACCACGACAGGCGAAGCATCGAGCGGACTAATCCTTATTTCGCCACCCGGACGTTGCCCTGGAGGAATTGAATATTCTATATCCGTTTGCTTCATTTCATGTTGGAGAAATGTCTACATTCCAGTAAAATTCGGATTTCCACTCTTGATTGCATTCGCTTGTATTGTATAAATCGAAAGTCCCATCCCTAGTATGAATGTCCTGTCTGAGCGCGCCTATTGTGCGACGTCACACAAACAAGTTTGTCTTCTACGGTTGACCACGACAAGATTCCTAGCCGCATGCTTTGCAGACGTCTTTGTCCCTTATAATTTCCTCGGGTTCCTTCGTAAAAACCAACGTGGAAGAGTATGACATTACCAAAAATAAAGGCGACTTGAAACAATTTGATTCTTGGTTGCCTCAGTCAGTGGCAGTCCCGTGTGGTCGCGGTTCGCTCCGTCGGTTGTCATTACGTAACTGGTATTCTTTAGGCACTTAAAACAAAATCATCTCAAGTATATTGGCTCCAGACGTTATGCTCTTGGCGAAAGATTTCGCTATTTTCTAAAACTCTTGAGAGTTACTGGCACCGACTTATCTTAATTGCATGACGGAACTGTGCATTTCTATTATGATTTGGAGCTTGGGTCTATAGCACTCGCAGGCCGCCTCTTAACGACAAAG